AAGGTTTTTTACATTATGGTTATGTCTGAATAGTGACTGATGTCTTCAAAAGGCAGTATTATCTGTGAAGTCATCAGCTAGGCGTTCTGTATCATCCACTTTGTTTGCTAGTTGAATAGACTTCATTGCAAATACAGTACATAAACACATTGGCTAGGTCTGAATTAAATCCTTATGACCATCAAGAGAAGGACAATGAAATGAGTAGAGAGATCTAAGCCAGGTTTTTTAATTTGGGCTAAAATCATAAATTTCCTGGGTACGTATGTATATACCTTGAAAACACTACTGTAACTATCCATTCCCCTACCCTCTTACCTCCAGCTCGCACTGAACAGAAAGACTTTCTATGACCACATTCTGTTATATAGGATTTTTTCATGCAGATGTGAGTATATGTATTTGTACAATAAAACTTGATGATTCTGAAGTATTTTTAAAATGTGTCATAGAGGAGAAGACACTATAAAATGCATTTTTTTTAAATTATGATCGATACCATGGCTTTAAGAAAAGTAGAATATTTCCCTTAAAGCAGAAATAGAATAAATGTCAAAGAAATCTTAGATGGTTAAGCAGATCCAATTTTAATACTTAAAATAAGTGTTAGAATTTGAAAATAAGATAAAAAATAGATTTAGCAGCTGAATTTCACCATTAATTATATTAATGGTATAAAGTGATTAAAGGAGGCACTGTGAGTATGCTACAAAGAAAACTGAATAGGCCTACATCTTGGCCTGAGTCTGCCCTTAATTCAAAGTCTGGCCAGGACTATACTTCTAACCTCTGTGAACCTTTATTAAACGAGGAGGTTGTCCAATGCGATATGTAAGGGTCTATCATCCAACTTTGAAAATCTGACTCTGTATCTACAGAAAATTTGTGTCTGTGTGTAAATGTACGCACGAAATAGGTATTTAAATTTGATATAAAATTCCTTACAATAAAAGTTTACACCATATTGTGTCTTTTATTTCCTAAATGCCTACTTACGTAATTGTGAGTGACTTCTACCTCATTGGATTTAAAAGCTAATAAATGTCATAGATACCAGCTACATTTAGTTAAGTAGCACACGATCTCCATTTAGGTTACATACCACATTAAATATGTACATAGTGGACCTGATAGACCTGTCTGAGCAGTTTTAGTATTAGTGTATTATGAGAGGGTCGATGCAATCCTTTGAAATATTTTAATCAGTAAAAACATTTGTGTTATTTTTTGTGTTCAAAAAAGAATACCCTAAGTTCAGGAGATTTTTAATGAACATTTGTGCCAACTACCAAAAATAAATATTTTCAAGGTTCACTCATGTTGCATGTTACAGGATTTCCTTCTTTTTTAAGGCTGAATAATATCGCATTGCATGTATGTACCACATTTTCTTTATCCATTAATCTGCTGATGGACACATAGGTTGCCTCACATCCTGGCTATTGTGAATAGTGCTGTAGTGAACACAGGAGTGCAGGTTATCTCTTTGAGACTCTGATTTCAATTCTATTGGATAAATATCCAGAGGTAAGATTGCTGGATCATATGCCAAGTGAAATAAGCCAGTAACAAAAAAACAAATACAACATGATGCCACTTATATGAAGTATCTAAAATAGTCAAACTCATAAAAGCAAAGAATGGAATAGTGGTTGACGGGCTGGGGAAAGAGGGAGGTGGGTGTTAATAATCAAGATGTATAAAATTTCAGTTATGCAAGATGAATAAGTTCTCAAGATCTAATGTACAACATCCTACCTATAGATAACAGTAGTGTATTGTACACTTAAATTCTGTTAAGAGGTTCCATCTCATGTTGTCTTCCTATCAAAAAATAAAGAGGCATTTTCTTTTCAAATAATACCTAGCAATAAAATAATTCTGCATCTTCTGAAAATAATGAGACTGTTCTGACTTTAGAACACCTTTGACTATGGTGTTCACAAACTGGATGTAAAGTACAGCTCAGTGATCCTTGTAGGATACTGTGGAGACCATGGCAGAGCAAAGAGCTTTGGGCTCACTGCGCGGTGCCCTGCCCGGGCCTCTAGACTGATGTTTCATGCCCATACTTCCTGTGGGCTCCTTTCTACCACTGGATAGAAACAACTATATCTTCTCTGCATTTTCTGATCTGTTCTTGAATGTAAAACCCTGCATTCTGAGACTTGGCAGCTTTGCATGAGTATAAGACTGGACCCAAGCTTTATTTACCCTTAGACCTACAAAATGTAAGAGCTGGGGGAGGAACCTTGTCATTCACAAATTAAGACATTGAAGCCTTTGTGCCTAACCAGAGAGAAATCCACAAGCATTTATTATAATCACCTGATTTATTTTTAACAATGTATTGCTAGGGCAAAGTTGTGACTTTCTGTTTATTATACACAATTTTACATCAAGAATACAAAGGAGCATTAAAGGAGATTTCTTCCTCCAGGAAAATGCTTTACATAATTAATCTAAACACTAAACTATGGGCAAAGACCCTGGTCATAGCCACAAAAGATATCTGATACATTTAGTATTCCAGTTGCCAACTATGTTCTTACTCTTGTTCATCCGAAGACAAATGGACATATTTTTAAAAATTTCGGAGTAAAAAAGAATACCTTCTAATCAAGGCAAAGTGAGGTAGTTCTTACAATTGAAAACCAAGTGTTGAGATATTGAGACTAATTTATGCAGGGAAGTCAGCCTGTGGCACTGAACTGACCTTGCAAATCAGCTAACATCATGCAGTCAGAAATCGTTTCTGCAGGGAAATCTCATAATTATTTGTAATAGTCCCAGTGACATCTAAGAAGTTGCATATCCTTTATATTATCCAGCCCAAATCACAGCCTTCCATAAGGATTCCATTACGTGATTCTCACTATGTTCACTTCAGTTGTGTTGACACAAGTAGTTGCCACTGATGCCTCTATCATATCTATCTTTGCTGTAAATGGAGGCATCACCCTCAAATACAGAAATTTGAAACAAATATTGTTTTTGAACTGAGATAGGTCTATTACATCCTTTGTATATGTCCAATAGCATATTTCAAACAATGGATTCTTCTTTGCATTAAAGTAATCTGGACACATACATAGCTGTTTAATTCTAAAACAGTTTTCATTTTAACATCTCTGAAATCAGCAAGAGTCTGACATGGAATCACTGACATCTTTTTTCTGTCTTAATGGTACATATGGTAATGTGGCATCCCACATCAATAACATCTTAGATTAAAAAAAAAAACATGACCTGTCCTAGCCATTTCTTGTGGAGAAAAAAACAAACACCTTCTTTGATAGAAAATAGGGCTCATTTAAAAACATGCTTGAACACTTCCTTGAAAAGCTTTTTTAATCTCTTCTACTCTTAACTATGCAAGCTCTGTGTATTTAAGTACACACATATCAAGTATAGTTGAGGACTCTCCGGATTTCCCTTTAAGATCTCTAATGCTCACTTTTACAGAATTTTTAAAAATCAGTCTTATAATCATTTCACATTAGTTGGGCCTCTTTTTCAATAAGATAGCATATACACGCTAGTATTTCAATGTTGATGTGAGCTTCAGTTTCCACTCAGAGTAAAACTAAGAAACATCTATTTTTTTTCTCTTTTCTTTTACATTCCCAGTTGCCTAAGAGATGGTATAACTATATATAATGTTCACAATAAAGGAATTATATCTTTTAGATTTTTTTGGAACAAATAAGTTAGATGTTTTTAGTCAAGGGTCCTAGCACAGTCATACTGTGAATCCAATAAAAGGAAAAACAGCAAAGAAAATGTAAAAATGAAAAGTAGAGGAAAGCAAAGAAAAAACTCTACCAGTAGTACTTTATTTCATGATACCAATAATCCCTTTTGTCCTCATGAGTTTTCACATATGTATAGTTTGAGAAGGGAGATAAGTAGATTCACTTCATTTAATCTCATGATTTCTAGCCAGTTGGCCAGTGGAAGAAAGAGAAAGGCATTCTTATTCACAGCATCTGATACCCCAAACCGTCATTAATGAACAACAGTAGTTTAAAAACAAAACAAAATTAAAAAGACCTAAAATGTCTTTTTAAAGCATACTTGGCATTAACGTTTATATATCCTTTCCTGCATTAAAACCAGTCCTTGTATTTTCATTTAAACTATGTTTACTAGCTGTTTGAAGTTTGCTTTTCCCTTGTTCACTTATGAAGTAGAAATAATCACCAAAATGTAGATGGGACATTAGTGATTTAGAAAACCCTTTAATGCTTAGAAAACTTTTTTATAAAATATTAAAATGCATTATTGTCTATATGTCTATAAAGGAAAGCACCCTAACAGTAGATATGTTCAACTCCTCAACAAAATATTTCCCAAGAACCACCACCTCAAAGGACCAACATCATTTTCACCAAGATATCAGCCTGTGGCAACAATCTTATAAGTAAACTATATGGCAAGGCATTAAATCCCAGAAAAAGTGCCACTTTACATTCAGTAGGGAAAAGAAATGAAGTCACAAAGTAAAAACTGTCAATTATTGTCATCACTTTGTTGTGCTGAAAGAGTTCAATCATATCACAAAGAATTTTAGAAAGTACTAATTTGACTAAAATACAAATTCTTCAAACTTTACCTACAGCTTTCCCTAAGCTCATAAATTAGCCAATTTTTCAATGTAAATACGAGACCCTTCTCTGTGTATTCACCAACTACATGCATGACATATACGAGTGGCCCTATCAAAGTACTTTCTACTTCTCATTTCCTCTTTACTTCCTGCTTCCCAAGTGATTTTCCATTCTGATTTGAGACATCTGCATCCTTTAGTATCATATTGAAGAATCTGAATCATAGGATGGCCATTATGGAAAGTAATCACACTCCACATTGATGAATGGCTATTTACAAAATGATCTCTATCATTTAAAGGAGACAATGTAATTAAGACTTTAAATTCCAAATACAATACTACAACTCAAATGACACTGACTAGCTACGAGCTTCTGGAAGTCACCCACCTGGGGCAGCATGCGATTCTCTTCCTCCAGCTGTCTTACTCTGGCCTCCAGCTGCCTAACATAGGACAAGGTTGATTCTAAAATTAAAAAGAAAGAACTCACATTATCCACACAGGTCTTGTTCAGTACCCTCTCAGGGTATTTCTGGCTTGATTTATTCAAATCAAATAGTGACTTCTTATTCCATTATTGAAAAAAAAAAAAAGATTTCTCCCCAGCAAAACTGTAACAGAAGCCACTGAAACTACAAGCAGTTTGAACAATTATACAATTTTAAGGAGAATTAGAAAAATGTATAGGTGGATAGACTGCCGGCTTTTGCACACCATGTAGCCTTCAAACATTAAACATCTTGAAGGCAGTTACTTCTTTTCTACTTATTTTGTGCATTTCGAGCTTCTAATCAGCTGTCCCACACATAAGACTTTTTTGTAATGTTAATTATGAGCAAAATAAATAACAAGATCATATTAAAAATAGAAAAAAACATTTCAATTATCCAGCTCTGCCCATTTTTCCCAATAAATATTTCAAGTTTTAAGAACAATGTTTGTTCTTGTCACAAATCTGCAGATATCAAGACATACTTCAGAGAACAGCAATGAAAGGTCTAAATAATTAGAGTTAGGCTGAATTTTGACTTGGATTGTGGCTGCCTGGGACAGAGACCCAGGTTTTCCCCAAATCTCCAGGTGCACCAGGGGCAGACTTGAAATTGACTTGTTTTAATTTCTTCACGAGCTCAGGTGTGTGCTGAAAGGTCAGAATCGGCACCATGCTTAGTTTCCGGTCCCCAATGAAACTAAAGTTTACAGCTTTTACATCAGGAAAGGGGCCACTCATTGAGGAAAGTGTAGTTTCATTTTCAGGAACAATTTGACAGTAATTCTTTTTCATTAAAGTGAAAACATTCAAGCACACCATATAGCTACATAGCTGGAATTCATTCATTACCCAAGAACAAACACATTTCAGGGATAGTGAAATGTACATGACAATAGAGCATATTTCCGGAGCATATTTCCATAGTTAATATTACAGCATCAAATCCTCCTCAGCACAAGTTCAGCTTTGGAAACACCAAGGAGCAAGAGGCAAGATGGCAGTGCATTTAAGAGGCAAGGGCTTGGTGTCTCAAACAACCTGAAGTTAGGTTGAATATTGATGCAAATTAATACTTTGATCATGGAAATTCCTCATGGAAACTCTACTTTGCAATTTTATATTTTAATTCATTATATGAATTCAATTCCATTTTTGTGACCTCCAAAGCAACACTTTATTATCTTAAAATACCTAAGAAACTTCAGGCACTAATTCACAAAAGTAACAACTAAGCTCATCCCTGACCAGTTTCCAGCATGCCTATTTTCACAAACGTTTGCAGAAAGTCCCTATCACAGACGTGTCGATAACCACTCACTGATCTCACGCCAATGGAGAAGACAGTTTTGAGCATTCCTCAGACAAGATAGAAACACAAGGTAAAGGAAACTGAAGACATTTGCTAAAAATAGGCTTGTTTTTTTTTAGCTCAATGAAATGTCATTACAAGAGTTTGCTTCATGGACTCTTCCAAATGGAAAAAAAAAAGCATAAGGCATAAATGAATAACAAGTTTATTGATTTCGTGAATCTGCTTTACTCTAGCAAATGAATAAGTGATTTGCAGATCATCAAAATGGGAATGTAGATTGCCTGATTTACACTTTTGCAAGCCTCACTCTCTACTCTAGAAAAACAACCACTGCATAAGGGCCATCCAAGGGGAGAGCTGCTCAGGAATATTCTATTTAAACCATGAACAAATGCAATTCTTTTTTTCCCTTTGTCCACAATTTGCATCTTATCTTTATTATCGCTATACTGTACTATCCCTGTAATCCTTAAAAGTAGTTGAAATGACTATACAGAGTGACTATTCAGGGGACATTTGAAAAATGCCACTGACTAGATTTTAACTCAGTTACTATCTTCAGTCACTTTAATCTATTTCTCTTTTTAAAAATCTTTGCAGTTTACATATTTGATGTGACGGTTTCTCTAAGTATCTACTAATATTTTAAGTCATATCATGTCAGTTAAAAAAATAGGGGTAAATTCCTAAATTTGGAAAGCATTCCTTTCTCCAATTTTTAATGTCAAATTACAATAGATGAAGTTAATATCTTTATTTCAAGGCATTCACTGCAAATATAGGCTGGGACAGGAAAAGCTAGGGAACATTTTAGACATTTAAAATCATGAAAAAAATTAACTTGACAATGAGGGCAAAGCTAAGGAGAGTTTTGAGTTCATTCAATCAACAAATATGTATTATTGTCACTGATTGTGTCAGGCACGGTTCTGGGGCTGAGATGAAAAGATGACCAATTATTGCAAGTCTTAGCACAAATTCCATTTTAGGATTATATGCCCTTGTGCTGAATTCCAGAAGGTCCTGTTGTTCAAGGCTCAGTCCTCAGTCTCTCAAATGCAGCTATTAACAATGAAGGGATAGAATGAATGAAAAAAAACTTGTGGGGTAGGAGACAAGAAAAATAGCAGATCTGCATGCATAAATAAAACTCATGCTGCTATTTGTTTTATTCATCAAGACACTGATTACATAATCCTTTAATGGGAGTGGAGTAGGCAAACATTTTTCTGGAATATACTGTAAGATCACCAGAGTCCCCAAATCCCTATGCGAAGAGCCATTGAAGAAACCACCCAATCTTTCAACTGTGAAATGAGAGAAAAACCAATTTGTGAATTGCTTAGGATTTCAATGTTTGTTGCTGCACCATAGGCTAGCCAAGCCTAACTACAAGTACATAGCCAATAATGGGATAGAAAATGTGTAAATATTGTTAAATAAAACATAGAATAAAGTGTAAGAAATGCCATGCTTTTAAAATATTCACATCATAATACATATCTCAGTCCTAGGTGATCATTGGGGAACAAAACTGATAAAATCTTGTGTGTAAGAAAGAAAAGGAGCCCCTTGAATTCTGGAACATATTTGGCCATGTCTTCCCCACACTGCTGCCTCCTTTTACTTCCTTAATCAAGGGGCTTCCAGAATGGTGTCAACTATAAAATAAGCAGGTCTTCCATTACACCCAGGGAATGTGGAGTACAGCTGTGCACTGACCTGGAAGAAATATCTGACGAAGCCTGGCATTTTCTGTCATAAAGTGATACACGTGCACTCACGCACACACACAACTGCATTGGAATGTACTATCACTTGAATTGATCATATTATACCAGTGGCTGACGGGTGTTAAAACTGAGATTTCAGAATGTCATTTTGCCTTTCAGAACTCTGAGAAGGAGGCTCCAAAAGAGCATCAAGGCCCCCCAAAAAAAACACCAAATACTACGCTATACTCTATGTAGAGGTGCAGTGTATTAAAGAAAGACCCTATCTTCAAGAAGCATATAACCATTTGGGGGGACAGAAGGCAAAAAATAAAGAAAATAATAAGGTGATATGCAACTCAGTGCTAACTCATGTGAAACAACAGTACAAGAAGAGACCAATATCGGTCCTAGTTCTTATGAAGGAGAAATTTGAGCTTAATGTGTCAACAGCAGTTGGATAGGCCAGAGAGATGCGAGTGGAGCCACAGGATGGACAAGGGCCAGAAGCCAGGAATAATCCTGTTGTGAACAAGCAAGAGAGAAAGGATTCACAAGAGGGAAGAGAAAGGGACATGCTGGGGAGCAGAATGAAAGGCCAAGTTGCTTCCCACCACCACGGATCTGAAAACCCAATGTCAAAACACAGTTATAGGGGCTGCTGGGTGGCTCAGTTGGTTAGAGCGTGAGCTCTGAGCAACAGGGTTGCCACTTCCATTCCCACATGGGCCAGTGAGCTGTGCCCTCCGCAACTAGATTGAAGACAACGTTTGAGCTGAGCTGCAGATGAGCTGCTGGTGGACAGCCAGATGGCTCAGTTGGTCAGAGCGCATGCTCTTAACAACAAGGTTTCTGGTTCAACTCCCACATGGGACGGTGGGCTGTGCCCCCCTGCAACTAGATTGAAAATGGCGACTGGACTTGGAGCTGAGCTGCGCCCTCCACAACTAAGATTGAAGTTCAGCAACTTGACTTGGAGTTGATGGATCCAGAAAAAACACATTGTTCCCCAATAAAGTTAAAAACAAAACAAAACAGACAGTTATGAAGGTGGTGATTTGTTTTTAACCTCCCCCAAAGGTATTTCATTGCTCTTTCCACTGCAGGAAACCTACGGACAGCTACACATTAGAAAAGCAAAGTTAAGCAAACACTACCAATGTGAAAATCCAATAAGATTCTCCAGGTGTTCTCGGGAGAAATCTTGGGCATAGTTTCAAAGCAAGAACCATTTGTCTCCATGTATCTCACCTTTCTTTAAGCCTACATGTAAAAGTCCACAGCACCTCTTGCAATAAAACAAATGTAAATTCCATCACATTCACATCTTCTAAATAATCCCAATTTAGAACTGTAATGCACTTTAGAGATTAACTAATTCAGCCTGTCCCCATCCCCTAACTCATTTGGCAACTATAGGGAATATAGAGAACAAAGCCCAGAAGGTAGCGATCATGGCCCAACACTGGGGATTCCTCAAATATATTCAAAAGATGTCGTTTCACTGCTGGCGCATCACAGTGATTCCTATCTTGATCTACTAATCACTAATGTATCAAGATTCTTATGTAAACAGTTAAATTCTAAGTTCTCCTTTTTCTTCCTGACTTTAGAAATTCCGGGTGGATTTTTTACCTTTACAATCACTTGATATTTTCCTCAGACAATATCCTAGACTTGATTTCACTTCAATTTGCCTGAAATGCACTCAATCATTTTTCTTTGCTACTTTGAGAGTACTCTGATCAAAATATTAAACTATTTTATTTCCCCTTGGTTTCTAAAGCAGTGTTTCTCTCCCTAGGGAAACGCCCATCCTTGAAGTCACCCATGAATGGCTCTTACTGTTGTACATAAAAGGTTTATCATTGGTAGTTGCAACTAAGGTTTGTCAAACTTCTGAATGGTTTTGATCAGATGAAGTGTTGTCTGGTCTCCAGAATTCAAA